GTCTACACATAGACATATAATAGTTAAAATCCCAGAAACCCAACAGAAGAACAAAATACTACAAGCAGTTACAGAAAAGAAACAAATCACATGCAAAGGAAAGCCCATCAGAATCACAGCAGATTTTTCAACACAAACCCTCAAGTCAAGGAGAGCCTGGAGTGAGGTATTTCAAGCCTTAAAAGAAAACAACCTCCAACCTAGACTTACATATCCTGCAAAATTATCTTTCAAAATTGATGGGGAAATAAAATACTTCCATGATAAAGAACACCTGAGGAACTTCATGAATACAAAGCCAGCACTACAATTTTTTAAATGGCCTAGAAAAAGATAGTGAAGGTCACAGCTCCGTAAGGCCCAACAGAGCAAATCCAAATATTTCATCAGGCAAGGCAAGAAATGAAGAGGGGGAAAAATAAAAGAGCCAACAATAGGAAAATAATATAATAATGATAAATCAATACATATCAATTGTAACCATCAATGTCAATGGTCTCAGTTCACCAATCAAAAGAAACAGAGTGGCAGAATGGATTAAGAAGCAAAATCCAAAAATATGCTGTATATAAGAAACACACCTAGTTCAAAAAGAAACTCATAAACTGAAAGTAAAAGGATGGAAAACAGTTCTCCATGCAACAGGAACCCAGAAAAAAATAGGGGTAGCTATCTTATTTGCAGATAAAGTAAATTTCAAACCAAAACTATTTAAGAGAGACAAAGAAGGTCACTACATGCTTGTAAAGGGAACAATCCAAGAGGAAGAGATGACAATCATAAATATTTATGCAACAAATACTAATGCCCCCAACTATACAAAACAAATATTAAGGGACATGAAAAACCAAATAAGCACTAATACAGTTGTGGTGGGGGACCTTAATACCCCACTGTCACAAGTATACAGATCATGTAGACAATACAATCAACAATGAAATACTAGAACCTAGCCTTTGAACAGATGGATTTAATAGATGTCTACAGAGTGTTCTACCCAACAAAATCAGAATATATATTCTTTTTGGCTGCACATGGGTCATTCTCCAACTAGTAGACCATGTACTAGTTAATAGAACATGTTTAAGCAAATGCAAAGGAATTAAAGTTATCCCATGTATATTATCAAACCAGAGTGCAATTAAACTAGAGGTCAATAGCATAAAAAAACCCAAGAACTTCAGATACATGAAAATTGAATAACATTCTCCTCAACAACCATTAGGTCACAGTGAAAATTAAAGAAGAAATTAGACAGTTTTTACAATTTAATGATAATGCCTAATGGCTCTTTTTGAAAGCCTAGTACTGAAAATAACCTGTTTTTTAATTTTAAAAAGCATGGTTCTAGAGCATAGTTCTGTTACCCTGATGTATTTTTAAATAGCTTGAATAAACCATTCAGTCTCCTTCCACCTATAAGTTTCTAAAGAGTTCATTGCTTCTAATAGGATCAAAGATCCTAGGATTCTAGGACAAGTAATTATACTTGAAAATAATGATAGACAATCAAAAATATTCTTGAAGATACACAAGAGGTTTTTTAGATGTGAATATCTTTGTGTTTGTTTATAGTAGTGGGGATCTAAACCAGGGTCTTGTGCATGCTGGCAAGTGCTGTACCACTGAGGTGCACCTGCAGCCCATAGTGAATTTTAAAAAATTAATAAAGAGTAACATGACAAAAATATAACTATTCATTTTCACTAAATATTTCTCTTTGTCCTTGAGGTTCTGTTTTCTCAACTATAAAACATGGTTTGTGGGCTGAGGATTTAGCTCAGTGGTTCTGGCACCTGCCTCGCAACCACAAGGACCCGAGTTTGATCCCCAGTACCAAAAAAAGAAAAAAAAAATCATGGTTTGAATGGACTTAAGAAACAGGTTACACATTTCTGACCTGTTGTAGTCACTGCATATTAGATCAAGATTTACCAAAGAGCCAGGGATTTAGCTCAGCAGTTCGGTGGCCTGCCTTGCAAGTGCAAGGACCCAAGTTCAATCCCCGGTACCAAAAAAAAAAAAAAAAAAGATTTACCTCATATTCCTAGATAGCTTTTACAGAGAGACATCTGAGTCAGTCATAGATAGTAGATACCGTTTTTAAAAGTTGACTTGTAAGCCAGGCCTGGTGGCTCAGACCTGTAATCCCAGCACTTAGGAGGCTGAGGCAGAGGCTTGCCATGAGTTCAAAACCAGTTTAGGCTGCAGTAATTAGTACAATGCCAGCCAGGACTACATAGCAAGACCCTGTCTCAAAAAAACAACAGTAAGATAGGCACCAAGGCACACGCCTGTAATCCCAGAATTTGGGATGCTGAGACAAGAGAATTGCCACAAGTTCAAGACCAGCCCAAACTACATAGTGAGATCCTGTCCCCTCAAAAAAAACAACAAAATAAAATGAATGTTAACTATTTTAAAAAGTTGGCCTGTGGAGTGATTTACTAAGAGTTAGGCCCTCTTATGAGTGCTTTAAAACAAATATTGCCTAGTTAACCCTTAAATCCCTCTGTGAGGTAAGTACAATTATCCTCATTTTATCGTGAGGAAATAGATACAGACAGCAATTAAGGAGACTTAACTGAGGTTACCCAGCTGGTAAGTGACAGAGCCAGACTTTGAACACAGGTAAGGTGGCAGTCTTTTCCATGCCATCTTATCTCTGTGCTACCTTCCCCATAAACTGGCATTTTGCACCTTTCGTTCCTTGAAACCAGCTCTGCCTGCTTGAGCAGGAAACAGCGAGTCATCCAGCCGGCCTACCTTCATGCCACTTTGTGTCCTCCTCAGAGCCAGCTGAATATCCCTTTATGGGTGCTGATGAAACAGCCTCTTGAGTGAGTGAAGGTAAAATGGCGGTTTTAAAAACTAATCCATTCTCTTGTTTACATCACCAGTGCTTAAATATACATACACCTATATATAACTAGAGTGCGAAGAAAAGTGATGTGAGAGTGCAGTAAGTGTTCCTGGGCATGAGTTTAGATAGGACACAGACAACCTTGGTTATGGGGTTGTGTCTCACTTCCCTGGCTCTTATAGCTGTTGATAATTAATGGCCCAAGCAATTTGACCTGGGCATGGTTGTGCACACCTATAATTCCAGCATTCTAGGAGTCTGAGGCAGGAAAATCACAAATTTGAGTTCAGCCTGGGTAATTTAGCAACTTAGTGGGACTGTTTTATAAATAAATAAACAAGTAAGTAAGTAAATAAGAAGGGCTCAGGATGCTGCTCCGTGCAAAGGCTTTGGGTTTAATCTCCAATAACAAAACAGAACAAAACATTAAGCAAAATCTCACTTACCTAGTACTATAAATTAAAGTTCCCAGAATAGCTGTGACCCTTACATCTTGTTTTTATTTCATTAAACTTGTAAATTTAGAAAGTGATCAAAATAGCTGAAGGAAGTCTAGGACATGAAAATTAAAGGTATGTATGACTGACCTGTGTTCAAGAAGGTAAGTCTGTAAAGGCAGCAAAGAGAAGATGAGTAGGACATTGTTCACTGTCAGAAAGAATGCAGATGGTTAGGTTGAGACAGAACCCCAGTGGCATAGTGCAGGAGCCAGTCAGGCATGAAGCCACAAAGTGCCATGTTGGCAGGGGTCTGAGTCAGAGGCAGCCCAAGATGTGCTTATGGTTCACACAGGCACAAGTGTGTTTCACATAGTGTCAAGCAGTACATAGTGATGCCCTGGCCTATACTGGCAAAATAACCCATAGCACAGATGTGGAATTTGCACTGTATTCTTGTGTGTAGGGTGGCTGTGAAAGGTGCTAGAGGCTAGGATGTGGCTTGGTGTTGGAGCACTTACCTAGTATGAGGTCCTGGGTTCCATCTCCATCACCAAAAACAAAAGATTATATTCAATTAAAGAAGCAGTGACATTAGAATTTGAACCCAGATATTGTTGCCTTCACTAGACCACATGTGCTTACCATTTCTTTTTTTTTTTTTAACAATCTTGGGGGGTTGAACCCAGGACTTTCTCACTGAGCTACATCCTTAGCCACCCCACTTTATGGATGTGTGTGGGTGTGTGTTTTGACACAGGGTCTTGCTAAATTGTTAAATTGTTCAATCTGGGCTTGAATTTGTAATCCTTTTGCCCTGCCTTCCAGAGTGCTGGAATTATGGGTGTGCACCATCACACCTGGCTCTTTATTTATGTTCAGATTTGGTTGTGTGGGTGTGGTGGAGCTGGTAGAACAATAAAGTAGAGATTCAGGAGCAAGACACATGACTGTGAAGCTCTGGCAGGAAAGCTGGGCTTGTGTGACAGTCCTGGAAGTCACTGGTACACAAATTCATTCATTTATTTATTTATTGTTGTGTTTTGTTTTTTGAGACAGGGTCTCACTATGTGGTTGAGACTGACCTGGGACTTACTATGTAGCCCAGGCTGGTCTCAAACTCACAGCAATACTCCTGCCTCAGCCTCCCAAGTGCTAGGATTACAGACGTGAGCCACACCCAGCCACATTTTTTTTTTTTTTTTTTTTTTTTGGTTTTTTGAGACAGGCTGGCCTTGAGCTCACTGTATGCCTCAGGGTAGCCTCAGTTTACCATGATCCCTTTGTCTCAAGTGCTAGGATTATAGGCATGCATCATCACATCTGGTGCCTTTACCTGGTTGTCATTTTCCCTCCTCTGTAGAGAATAGTAGATGGTTATTACTGTTATCCTTCAGTTTCCATGAAGATTTGGCAGCTTTTCATTGGAAGCAGTACAGTGCTGCCTCAGTTCATGAACTTGATTTGTTCTACGATTTTGGAAAAAAATGATCACATTTGTGTTTGTGTGGGAAAGATGGCTATGGCCATGTTTGTCACCCAATGCAGAGTTTACAAACAAAAGCATTCATGAACCGAGGTATCACTGTTTTTGTGCTTTTTGAACAAAAAACTTGCTGCTTCCAAATACACGCTAATAGAGTAGCCTTGTCTGAGTGTGCTCTTCCCTACTAACTGTGGTGTGTTGCTTGCTGTTCTAGGAGCCATGCTTGACCAGGATGCTGGGACGATTGGCTCCATGCTGGAGGCCCTTGTGAGGAGATGAGACGGTGAGCAGAGGCTGGAATGAAGATGCTGCCAGGAGTAGGTGTGTTTGGGACTGGCAGCTCAGCCCGGGTCCTGGTCCCACTGCTAAGAGCAGAAGGGTTCACTGTGGAGGCCCTGTGGGGGAAGACAGAGGAGGAGGCGAAGCAGCTTGCCAAGGAGATGGACATCACCTTCTACACTAGCCGCACTGATGATGTGTTGCTGCATCAGGATGTGGACCTGGTGTGCATCAACATCCCCCCTCCGCTCACTCGGCAGATATGTGTGAAAGCTCTAGGTATGCACTTCTGGGCACATCTCCAGAGCTTACTCCTTTCCCTGGGCCTGAGGGTTCCTCCTGGGCCCTGCGTCTCTGGGTGGTGAGACTCTGGGGCATCCTGTCTCCCTGGAGCAGAGCTGGTATGTTGGAAAGTCTTTGTGTAGTTCAGGCTGGCCTTGAACTCACTATGTAATCCAAGCTGGCCTTGAACTTGCCACAATCCTCCTGCCTCAACCTCCCAGCTTCTGGGATTCCAGGTATGTGCCACCATGCCTGAAAATGTTGGAGGGTCTTATAACCATTAGTAAACTCCTGAGCAGAAACTAAGGATGTAATCTAAAAGATGGTCCATTGAGGGGCTGGAGGTTATTATATTTCAGTCAGTGTAAAGTTGCCTCTGAGAAGGCAGTAGTCCCTGGGCACTGGGGAATTGGTTGTGGTTGATAAGTTTATTCTTCCACACCATGGCACCACAGGAAGGAGAGGCAGCCAGCCGTCTAACAAGGAGACTGTTTCCATGTTTTGTCACCCTGGACTGCAGAGAGCACACACCCTTCCTGCCAAACTGTAATCTTGTATTGCCAGACTGCAGGAAGGCTCTGACAGTACTAGTCTCCCCAACAGGATCTGTGGGACAACCTGCTCACATCTCTGTTCCCTTGGGAAGTTCCGAATTTGGTAATCTCCTCTTCCTAGCTGGGTGTGGCCTGCTGAGCTGTTCTCTGCAGTTCCTGTTGGGCTTCTCTTTCCTGTCAACTCTAGACAAATTCTTCTCTTCTTGTATATAAATCAGAATCTAATTTATTAGAAAATGAGCCAGTAAATATTCATCCAGCAATTACTTCTTAATACCTCTTATGTGCCAGGCACTGTCCTGATGTCATTTTGGATATTCAAAGTTGGATTAGGCCCGGGATTTAGCTCAGTGGTTCTTCCTCCTGCTTTGCAAGCACAAGGACTCAAGTTCAATCCCTGGTACAAAAAATAAAATGAAGTTACAAAGTTGGGTTAGAACAGAGCCCTCCATGCTTTCAGATTTTTTTTAGGTATATAATATATATAATGTTGGGATATAAGCAGATATCTTGTCACAATATGAGAAACAACATGCTCGTGTACAAGTTGTGTGAAAACAAATCAACTGTCAAAAACATGTTCATAAGTTCTGAAAATATTTATCTTAATGGGCTGGGCGTGGTGGTGCATGCCTGTAATCCCAGCACTTGGGAGGCTGAGGCAAAAGGATCACTGTGAGTTGGAGACCAGCCTGGGCTACATAGTAGTTCCAAGTCAGTCTCAACTGCATAGTGAGACCCTGTCTCAAAACACACACACACACACACACACACACACACACACACACACACACACACACACACAAATATATATCTTAATGTAAAATACGGTGCTTTCAGATTTTACAATCCAATTGAATATACTAGAAATAATACATTAAAAGGTAAGTGATAGAATACTGAAGTAACAATTCAAGTAGTACATAGTTGATAAAATAATTGTTTTAGTAAAGGTAGTAGGAGCCAATGTGTCTGATATAGTCCGAGGTTCCTGTCAAGGAGCTGGTGTATCATGAGGTTGACCACCACTCTTCCTGGCCACTCTCATGGCAGAGGACCCCAGGCTCCACTACTCACATCTTCCTTGCTCTGACAAACAGAGTAAAAGAATCCATCACCTCTGACCGTGGATTAGGAAGAATAAATGTTCATTGAGGAGAGCAAGATCTTGACTCCATTTGCTTATCAGTTTGAAGTTATAGTCAAAAATTGTAGGTGCCTTCCAGAGACCTCTCTTTAAGAGTGTGTGACATTGAAAAAGAAAGCCAGGCGTGGTGGTGCATGCCTGTAATCCCAGCACTTGGGAGGCTGAGGCAGGAGGATCATTGTGAGTTCGAGACCAGCCTGGGCTACCCAGTGAGTTCCAGAGCAGTCTGAACTACATAGTGAGACCCTGTCTCAAAAAACCAAAAATAAAAGAATGTGTGACATTGGAGTTATTCACTGGTCGTGAGAAGACAGATGGTAGCTCTCAGATGGAACTTAGAAGATAGACCTAAATCCACAGGTTTAGCAGAGGACTGACTCAAGGAATTATCTGTAGTCACTTGACCACATCTTTTGGGGCATGAATCAGGCTGATTGGAGAGCTGAATCCAGAGATAGCTCCAAGGGCTCTTAGTCATGTTCCTGAGTTTTAGAGTCTCCACAGAGGCCATTTCCAAGCTGTATAAGAGAAAGAAGAAAGCCCAGGTTTCTTTGGCAACAAGCTTGCAATTTTCTAGTTCCAAGTACAAGAAAATGGTTGTTTTTGAGCCCCTTACTATAAACAGGAAGGACCAAGAATGACAAGGATCTTCTGTCCCAGCCCTTGGTAACACAGGGCTGTCAGTCTTCTCTCCACATATCTGCTGTAAGGAGGAGAGAGTTCGTGAGGATCTTTTTGTTTTTTTTTCGGTACCGGGGATCAAACTCAAGACCTTATACTTAAAAAGCAGGCGGCAGAACCACTGACCTAAATCCCCAGCCCTGTGAGGATTTTGATTTGTTTTTGCAAGTACATGATGCCAGGGCCTACTTGGTAGGGCCTGGAGAACCTGTTTCAGCTTGATCTAACTCAGGCATTGTCTACTCTGGCTCCAAATAAGTTGGTAGGGCTTAAAATGACCATGAAGTTTGCATCTTGTATATTGTCACCTTTTTTTTTTTTTTTTTTTTTGAGACATTGTCTCATTATGTAGTTCAGACTGCTCTGGAACTCACTGGGTAGCCCAGGCTGGTCTCGAACTCACAGTGATTCTCCTGCCTCAGCCTCCCCAAGTGCTGGGATTACAGGCGTGCACCACCATGCCCTGCTTATTGTCACTTTTTTCAGTGAGGATTCTGACTTGACTTCAGCCCTAGGGACGCTCCTTAGGCCCTGCATGTGGGTGCTGAACTGTTATGGATAGAGCATCAAACTGACCTTGATGTCAAGCCCTACTGGTGGCCCCTTTTCTGGCCCTCTCAGAGTCTGTGTGCCCCATGAAATGAGGGTGTTAATTCCTGCCTTGTGCAGTCTCCAGGATGATGTACAATTGCCCTCTAAGTGCTGCACAAGAATGTTGCTGTGGTCCTATTAGAAGGGAGGGCTTGGCTTTCCTGTTGTCCCAAGCGGAATAGTGCATGTGACTGAGTTTATTTTAAAAACAAAGCTAACCGGGCCAGGGGTTTAGCTCTGGTTCTTCCGCCTGCCTGGCAAGTGCAAGGACCTGAGTTTGATCCCCGGCACCAAAACAAAACAAAAAAAAACAAACAAAGCTAATAGGATTCTCTTCCTAGATATTTTTTAGGTGAATGCTCAGTTGAGTTGTAAAAGTCCTCAGGCACTATCCCAAAAGACCCTCTTGGCCCTTCATCTACTGCATATTCTCCTGTTCTCATGTATGAGTCTATATATGCAAGACAGTATGTTTTCCTTTCTCCCATATGAGTTTTTTTGGGACCTGTTACTAGGGCTGTATCTTCGTGTCCTTTTCTTTGTGTTACTTTTGTTTTAATTAAGGATATTACGTTTAGATCTGTAGTCTTTTAGAGCTAGAAAAGAAAGATAATTATTTAGCTCTATAGCTATTAAAATATTCTAATTTTTAGGTGAGCTCTTCCTATGAGAAGTTTATCACAATTACCTAACACACCCATTTAATTAAGCAACCTTCTGACATTGTTCTGTGCCTTGCTAAGTATTATAAAAGGTGGAGAGGTCAGGCATGGTGGCAGATACCTATAATCCCAGTGAGAGGCAGGCAGGAAGATCACCAGGTGTCGAGAACAGCCTGGCTACATAGCGAGTAAGTCTCAACCA